CGCGCTCGCCCGCTTGCCCGCCCGCCCGCTCCTTCTTGAATTTAAAGTGACGAGCGCTCTCTACTCCAGGGAGCGGAGCCGCGCAGTGAGAATCTGAGTCGGAGATCCCCAAGCGCGGTTGGGTCCTGGGGGGGTGGCCAACCCCAACCTCACAATCGTGGGCCCGTGGACGTGTGGTGGGGAGCCATGCGCCCACCAGGGGTGTCCCTGCTTCCCTTCTAGGCCTCAGTTTCTTTATCTGTAAAATGGACTCAAGGTAGCCACAAGAAAGCAGACCAGCGAACAGCTCAGCTAGGAGTTGTTCCCCTTTCTCCGAATGGCTGATACTCCCTTCCATGATTGAGTTGTAATTCTAGGCTCCAGGTTTCTTACCGAGATCATCTCTTGTAAACTTTGCAATGACCTCATCCGTGGCCACTTTTTTCTTTTTTTTTTTTTTAAGGCCCAGGGTGGATACCAAGGTCACAGGGCCAAACGTCAGAGTCAGAACTTGAACCTGAATCTTTGTGACTTTCAAAGTCATTCTCTCTCTCTCTCTGATCTTTCTTTTTGAGATATGATCTCTCTATATATCCCTGGCTACCCTGGGATTTACTATGCAGATCAGGCTAGCTTCAAATTCATAGAGATCCAGCTGCCTGCCTCTGCCTGCCAAGTGCTGGGATTAAAGGCGCATGCCATCACACCTGACTCAAAACCTTTATTTTGAACCTTTTATTTTTTTTCTTTTTTCCGTTTTTCGAGACAGGGTTTCTCTGTAGCTTTAGAGCCTGTCCTGGTACTAGCTCTTATAGACCAGGCTGACTTCGAACTCCCAGAAATCGGCCTGCCTCTGCATCCCAAGTGCTGGGATTAAAGACATGCGCCACCACCGCCCAGCTATTTTTAATCTCTTAAGGGTCATACTTTCTCTTCCAGAGGAATGAATGAATCATTCAGGAGGTATTTATGACGCCCTCACCCAGGCTCTCGGCACAGCTCCAGGCGTGGGCGATCTTCCATCTTCCGGGAACAAGGGACAGGTCCTTTCACTGCCTGCGCAGTCTGGCAGGGAGCTGGGTCGGGTATTAGGAGGGGCTGGGTGGTGCGCATGGCAGGGAAGAGCGGGAGGAACAAGTGTTCCAGACACAGTAATCGGAACAGCGGGCTGGAAAGGCGCTGACTAGGCCTCAGGGAGGGTCTGGGGTATAGTAGAGAAGCTGATAATCTCAGGGAGAGCCAGTATGGGAAGGTTCGGTTGTCTGAGAGCTGTGTGTGGGTACTGACTTGTAGAGGTTCAGACTATGTGTCTTTATGGAGAGCAGGTAGACAAACTTGGTCCACCCTCACCTATAGGGGCCACCTTCATTTTTAGGACCTAAAAGAAAAAGAAAGAACATTATGGGCTTTGAACGTTTGGTGCCATTTCCCATTTAACTAATCTTCATGGCTGTTTTGGTAAGACTGAACCCTTTTTCTTTTCAATTTATTTATTTATTTGTTTGTTTGTTTTTTCGAGATAGAGCTTCTCTGTAGCTTTGGTGCCTGTCCTGGCACTAGCTCTTGTAGACCAGGCTGGCCTCGAACTCACAGAGATTCGCCTACCTCTGCCTCCCGAGTGCTGAGATTAAAGTCGTGGGCCACCACTGACCATCATCTTTTCAATTTTAAAAATTATTCTTTGTGTGTGGATGGATGGATGTATATGTATCACATGTAAGCAGGTGTTCAGGAGGCCAGAAAAGGGTAACAGGCCCCTTGGGACTGAAGTTGCAGGTAGTCATGAGCTACACCAGGTGAATGCTGGGAACTGAACTCTGGTTCTCACATGAAGGCCTGGCAAAGGACTAGGCTACTGCCTTGGAGGGCCTGGGGATTTAGGCCGACTTTAAGAGCTTCTGTTGGAGGAGCTGAAGATAAACTACCTGCAGGTTCACTTCCAGGATAGCTCCGAGGACGCTGCTACACCAACCGAGACGACCTTGAAATGAAATCTCGTTTAGAAACCTTTACTAACCACACACAAGTCCACACGTGCTCCAAGAAATAAGACAAGAATGTTGACAGAAACTCCAAACTGGACCACAAAAGCTCACCAACAGCTGCGTGTGCAAAGGCACTGCAATAGTGTCACACCATGACACTACTGTGTACTGTGTCGCAAAGAAAAGAAACGAACAAATTGCTCCACCAGTGGATGATGAGGGATTGCACAAACAAAACTTTGTAGCAGGCCAGACACCAAAGAACACATGACTGTTAGAGTCCATTTATAGGACGTTCACAAACAGCAAAACTATTCTTTGCTTTTAGAGGCTGGGACGATAGTTCCCATGGGATGGGTGATGTAAAGAAATTCGAGGAGGCTGTAAGGGTTTGGCTATGGCTTGAGTGTGCTTCCCCAAAGTCATGTGATGGAGCTCGGCCTCCAGTGTGTGAATATCAAGAGGCAGTAGGACATTTAAGAGCTGTGACCTAGAAGGGGGCTGGTGTGGGCAGTCCTTCTTTATATGTGTTGCTTTTATTGGTTAATAAATAAAGTTGCTTTTGTCAGTGGCTTAGCAGAATAGAGCTAACCGGGAAAACTAAACTGAATGCTGGGAGAAAGAAGGCGAAGTCAGAGAGAAGCCAGGTAGCCACCAGAGAAGAAAGATGCGAGCAGCCAGCTGGGAACTTTTCCCGTAGGTCATGACCTCATGGTGGTGCACAGGTTAATGGAGATGGGTTAGTTTAGAATATAAGAGCTAGCTAGAAATACACTTAAGCTATTGGCCAAACAGTATTGCAAACAATACAGTTTCTGTGTGATTATTTTGAGTCAGGGTAGCTGGGAAACAAACTAGCAGACTCCAACAATAGGGGGCTGTTAGATGACTGGGGGTGTTGGGTACCGTGGACCTCCAGACCTTGAACTTCCTGTGATCCCCTACCCCGCCTGCCAGAGTAAACAACTTGTTTTCCTATGCTTGCAGCGGCTCTGAGCAAACTACCTGTTTTACAGCTGCTCTGAGAACAAGACACTCAGGAATTCCTGATGGCAGGGGAGTGGTTTCTGGTGGGCTTGCACCCGAGAGTTAGGGCATGGCCATTAGTCAAAGAGACCCTATATAAGCTGCCCTGGACCACAATAAAGTGAGTATTCTTGGCTCTGTGTGTGTGTGTGTGTGTGTGTGTGTGTGTGTGTGTTTTAATCTCCAGCCCCTTCCTGACTTGCGAACTGTACAGTAGCACATAGCCCATACTATAGACAGGCTGCTACATGGAGATACTGCCCTTAGAAGGGATTCAAGTGTTTCCCAGGAAAGCCTGTTTAGTTATTGTAGTGGTTTGAAAGAAAATGACCCCCATAGGCTCAGGGAATGACACATTAGGAGGTGTGGCCTTATTGGAGTGGTTATAGGGTTGTTGGAAGAAGTGTGTCACTGTGAGGACAGGCATTGAGGTCTTATATGCTCAAGCTATACCCAGTGTGGCACATAGTCTCTTTTTGCTGCCTGGAGATCAAAATGTAGGACTCTCAGCTTCTCTTCCAGCACCATGACTGCCTGCATGCGCCATGTCCATCATGATGAAAGTGGACTAAGTATCTGAAACTGTAAGCCAGCCCAATTAAATGTTTTCCTTTACAAGAGTTGCTGTGGTCATGGTCTCTTCATAGCAATAGAAACCCTAACTAAGACAGGTCTCTTGAAAAGATTATAAGATAGCAAGGTCCTGCTTGGTCTCTTGAGCTTTCTATCTTGCCCTGTAATCTCTTTGTCCCACACCATGACAGCACTTGCTATGATGTGGCTTAGGAGGCCCTCACCAGAGACAAAATCAATGGTGCCATCCAATTTTGATTTTTAAGTTTTTTAAAATTTTTATTTCATGTGCATTGGTATTTTGTCTTCATGTACGTCTGTGTGAGGATATTGGATTCCCTGGAACAGGAATTAGAAACAGTTGTGAACTGCCATGTGAGTGCTGGGTATTGAACCTGGGTCCTCTGGAATAGCAGCCAGTGCTCTTAACCAGAGATTGGAGTCATCTCCCCAGCCCCCAATCTCTGAGTTTTTAAAATTATGAACAAAAACCCCACAAAGCTACTTTTCCTCTTTCTCTTCCTTTTGTCTTTTATCATATTTATCTATTTATTCATTTATTTAGAGAAGTAGTTCTCAACCTTCCTGATGCCGCAAACTTTCACAGTTCCTCGTGCACATGCTGTGCTGACCCCAACTGTAAAATTATTTTCGTTGTTACTTCTTAACTGTACTTTTGTTATGAATCATAATGTAAATATCTGATATGCAGGACATCTGTCATGTGACTCCTGGGCTCCCAGAGGAGTAACGACCTGTAGATTGAGAACCACTGATTTAGACAAAGGCTCTTACTATATCGCTGACTGGCCTGGAACTCACTATGTAGATCAGGTTGCCTTCAAACTCACAGAGATCCTTGTGTCTCTGTCTCTCAAGTGTCAGAACTAAAGGCATCTACCACCATGCCTGGCATACATATAAATTAAAAATAAAAACAAACATTTAAAAATAGGAAATACAAGGCCAGCCTGGTCTACAAAGTGAGTTCCAGGACAGCCAGAGCTATTACACAGAGAAAATCTGTCACAAAAAAGAAAAAAGAGAGAGAGAGAAGAAGAAAGAAATGAAAAGTGCATTTTATTTGCTTGTGTGTTTATGTGTACGGGTGCCGCAGCTTGCATATGAAGGTCAGAGAACAACATTTGGGAGTCAGTTCCCTCTTCCTCCTGTGGAACGTCTACAGTTCAAACTCAGGTCATTGGGTTTGGCGGCAAGTAAACCAGCTCTCTGGCCCCCTCCTTTTTGTTAGGACAGCATCACACTCAGGCTGGACTTTAACTCTTGATTCTCCTGCTTCGGCCTTCTGGGATTGCAGCCATGTGACACTACTCAGAACTGACTTACATTTCTCTTATGCGTTGGTGGACTAAGACAGAGGATTCTAGGGTGCTATTCCTAGCTTGGGTCTCAGTGCCTGTCTCCCACATGTATTCCCCATGTGAAGTCCCACGGCACCATACACTTCTCTGCATGTGTGATATGCTCCAACCTGGTGTAGCCACAGTGTTGCCCTGGAAACAGTCAGGCTCCTTCTGTGGTCCATAGACCCTGGTGAGATGCTCCTGCTGGCCTTTCTCACCCATCATGCCACCATTCCTCTCACCTACCAAGTTCCCACTTCCCAAACCTTCTGCTCTTGACACCCTGCCAAGCTATTTTCCACCTCAAGACTCTAGCATTTTGCTCACCTCTCTGCAAAGTGTTTCAGCTCATTGACTTCTCAGTCCAGTTTTGGTTTGTTTTCAGAGTCACTATATAGACCAGTCTGGTCTCAAACTCACAGAGACCTGCCTGCCTTTGCAGTATTAAAGGCCACACTCGACTCCTTTCTGTTTTTGTTTTTTTTCTAATTTTGTTTTTTTGAGACAGGGTCTCTCTGTGTAGCTGTGGAGCCTGTCCTAGAACTTGCTCTGTAGACCAGGCTGGCTTCAAACTCACAGAGATCCACCTGCCTCTACTCTGCCTCCTGAGTGCTCCACCACTGCCAGGCTTTTTTTTTTTTTTTTTTTTGAGACCAGGTCTCCAGTATCTGGGGCTGTCCTTGAACTCCTGATACTGGGATTACAGGTGTGTCCTCTACTCCTAGCTAGAGTCCGAGTGCTCAGTTCTGTGCTCAGACAGACTTTGATGATCTTCCTGGTAGAGGTTGGGACAGATCCTGCTATCTGAGAGAGCACCGAGCATGGACTAGGTTCACAATGAATGCTTGTTAAATGAATGAAGTCTAGAGGAGAGAGGGGTGTGACTTGGACCCTGGAGTGGACAACGAGAAGGAATGGGTAGTAGGACATAGGTCTCACTAGTGGGGGCACTGAGGACCTGAGACACTCAGGACCAAGCTCTCACCCAGGGCCTAGGAACATCTCTCCCACTGCCAGGCACAGAGTGTAATGGTCTGTCCTGTCCCTTTAAGAGACAAGTCCCGCCCACTTCCTCCCTGCCCACCACTGAGGCAGGCAAATCTTCCTTCAGCTCTAGGCCTGAGCTCTCTTCCTTTCTGTCTCTCTCCCAAAGAGGTAGCTGCTGCTGTGTCCCCCCACCCCCGTTTCTCTTTCTCTTTCTGCTCTTCCCCTTTCTCCCCTTACCCCCTCTCCCCTTTCCCTTCCATAACCCACTAAATAAATATCCAACCTCACTCTGCATGGAGTGCTTATCCAGGTCTCTGTTTCTCACCCGCCACAGGGTCTCAAGCCAGCAGCTCACTGCCGCTGCAGCATTTCTACCGCTGCGCCCCTCAGGGAAGCAATGCATTTTATTTTTAGCATAACACAGAGGTTGCTCCCAGAGGGCACTCTGCCTTGAGGGTCCACACTCTGTTTGGTCCATGACTGTGTGTAAGCCCCCTGCAAGCTCTTCATCAAGTGCTCAGACCACAGTGACCTTAGAGATGTGAATCACCTCTGGCCTTTTGGAAATTCCTTCACAAAAGAAGGTCCCAAGTACCTTAAGAGCCCAGGTTGTGACTGGGTGGTGGTGGTGCACGTCTTTAATCCCGTCACTCAACAGGCAGACACAGGCAGATCTCTGAGTTCAAGGCCAGCTTGGTCTACAGAGTGAGTTCCAGGACAGCCAGGGCTGCACAGAGAAACCCTGTCTCAGAAATTCATAAACAACAAGGAAAAGGAATCCAGGCTGTGGACTGGGTGACAGACCCAGATCACTGTGTTTCATCCCAAGCTCACCTTGTGGAAGAACAGAGCGAATCCCCAAAGAGTTATCTTCTGACCTCCATACATTTAATTTGGCATACGCATGTCTATATACATAAACACAATCACACAAGTTAAATAAATAAAATGTAATATTAACAAAAGAGTCCAGGTTGTAAGCTGGATGTGTGTTGGATCAGGCTCCTTAGACCCTGTTGCCAGTCCCAGGAAAAGTAGGGGCAACACAGTTGAAAAGGCCCAAAGGGCTCCTTGTCAGACCCATGGAGCTGTTGTGTGGGGTTGACCTACAGAGAAGAAAGACTGGCCAAACCCATGCTACCAAGCTCTGGGGACAAGACTGGTATGTGGGCTCCAAGGTCAATACTCCAGTAAACTGGCCATTTTCCAGATCCTGCCTTGGCTCCTGGGATCATTTGTCTTCCCTATAGCCCTTGATAACCCAGCTTTATAGTTTTCAAGTTTACCTCTCAGGTCATGCAGGCAAACATGAACTTGATTCCACACCAGGAAATGGGTTCCCTGCCCTGGCAATGCCTTCATCTATTGAATGCAAAGGAAGTTGTTGGACCTTTCACAGAAAAGAGGTGAATTGAAGGGCTTGGCACGTCTCAGCCGGTAGGAGCCACTATTCCTTCTCTTCACATTCCCTTTGAAACAATAATAATAAAATTTAGGAGTAGAGTGTTGTTGGCGGAGGCCTCTTGTTTGTTTTCTGGGCTGCCCAGACTCCCAAAATAATCACACAGAAACTATATTTTGCAATATTGTTTGACCAATAGCTCAAGCATATTGCTAGCTAGCTCTTACATCTAGAATTAACCCATTTCCATTAATTTGTATTTTACCACAAGGTTCACGGCCTGCGGGCAAGGTTCTATCTGGCAGCTCATGTCTTTCCCCTCTGGTGGCTACATAGTATCTCACGACTTTGCCTTTTTTTTCTCCCAGCATTCTGTTTAGTTTTCCCACCCAACTCTACTCTGCTAAGTCACTGGCCGAAACAGAGTCTTTACTCATTAACCAATAAAAGCAACACATATACAGAAGGACTTCCCACACCAGAGTGTGGTGGTACACTTGTAATCCCAGCTACTAGAGGCAAGAGCATCAGGAGTTCAAGGCCAGCTTGACCTATAGGCGGTTCCATCTCAAACCAAAACAAACAATAATGAAATGTAAATAGTGTTTGCCTCTGTGTAAGATTTCCTAGCTCATTATTTCACATCACTATCAAAATACTCAGGGACGAGCTGTTTCCAGGTAAGTGTGTAACTCTGACCCTGGAACTGTTGGAGTCCACAATCCTGGCTTCAGATCCTGCCCTGTTTTGTTCTCAATATGGCCTTTAATTTACAGTAAGCAACAGAAAGCAGATGAAAATGGTGACATTTAGGAAATTTCCCCAAATTGTGACAGGTGTCATCTGCAGGGTGTCTGGTCAACCAGTTAGCACTGAGCCAAAAGAAGCCTGGCGAGACAGAAGGGTATGAGCTTATGGCTGAGATCAGGAGACCAGATCTGAGATCAGGGCAATGAGATTCAGCTACTGCACACCCCCAGCTCAATCCTGACACCCTGTCTGCACACTGTTCACCTCTGGGTTCCAGCCTGTCCTGCACATCAGAGCTGGAACCTGGAGTTGGGTTAGGTGACCACTCCAAAAGTTATGCTGCCTCCTTTCCCCATGAGCGGGGATTGGAATAGAGTCAGCACAGGTGTTCCCAGGGAGGAGGAGAGAAAGGGGGCCTGGGAGGCAGCTCAGTGGGTAGCGCGCTCGCCATGCAAGCGTGCAACCTGAATTAGATTCCCAGAAGAAGGCTAAGTGTGGTAATTAATACTAGCAATACTTGTAATGCTTGCACCAGGGGAGTGGAGACAGGCAGATCCTAGAGACTAGCTGGCCAGTCAGCCTGATCCAGCTAGTGAACATCAGGCCAGTGAGAGACTCGCTCACCAAAGTGGGAAGCTGGAGAGCTAGCCTGGTGGTTAAGAATATGGCTGCGAGGCTGGGTGGTGGTGGCGCACGCCTTTAATCTCAGCACTCGGGAGGCAGAGGCAGGCGGATCTCTGTGAGTTCGAGGCCAGCCTGGTCTACAAGAGCTAGTTCCAGGACAGGCACCAAAAACTGCAGAGAAACCCTGTCTCAAAAATAAAAAAAAAAAAAGAACATGGCTGCGTCTCCAGCCTCCAGAGGACCGGAATTTGATTCCCAGCACCCACTTTGTTGGGTGACTCACAATTTCTTTAAGTCCAGCTCCAGGTGACCCAGCCACCTTTTCTGGCTTTCACAGACGCTTGCACTTATATGTACATTCCTACACATACATACATTTACACATAATTTAAAAATAAATCTAAAAAAATAATAAAACCAAGATGGAAGACTCACCTAAGGAGTAACAGCTGAGGCTGGTCCCTGACCCTCCTACTCATACACACACAGGTGTACATACATGTACCTGCACACACAAGCATACACATACATGTGTGCATATACAAATTTTGCATCGATACACACATATATATGGAAGAGTCCTTCTGACGGTCATTTCTAGGATTCTGTGATTTCTTTTTCTAGCCTGGAAGATAGCAAAGCATGTTCTCTAAATGTCTGGGTAAGTCAAGAACGCCTGGGTAAATAGCTCTGCTACATTCCTTCTCGCCTGTCTCTCAGCTCCTCAGCGTCCCCGTTGCTCAGGCCACACATTAGAAGCTGCAGCCGGAATGCCCCACTCACTGCTCCCTAGACACTGAACCCTTCTCTATCTCCACACTCTGCTCAGCGTAGTTCCTTCTACTTGAGATTTCCTCGGCCTGCTTTTCCCCAGAGGGCTCACACTCTTCTCCATCCTTCAGCACCTCATGTATGGTGGCACATGCTTTTAATGCCAGCAAAGGTAAGTGAATCTCTGAGTTCAAGGCCAGTCCGGTCTACAGAGTGAGTTGCCGGACAGCCAGGACAGTGCAGAGAAGCCCCGTCCTGTGAAGCTTCCGTGACAGCGGTGACAAGCAGATTTCCCCTCCTCCTGCGGAGCTGGTACCCACCCACTAGCACAGTCACACGCAGTCTATTCTGGAATGATTCATCCTGGGCTACTCCTACTGGATCCTGGGTGTTTGAAGAGCTGACGTCATGTCTTACTCATCTCTAGGTGCTTTTGGCCATCATCTAGCAGTAGCTTGGTCAGTATTTTAAAACCAGAGCTAGACATGGTGACATAAACCTTTAATCCCAGCACTCAGGAGGCAGAAGCAGGCAGATCTCTGACTTCAAGGCCATTCATTACATAGTGAGTTCCAGGCCAGCCTGAATCACGTAGTGAGACACTCTCACACACACACAAACTCAAGAACCTGCACACCCACACACCCACACACAAAATTCTTATGTGCCAGGCCGAGTTCTGACTCATTTAATCCTCCCAGCGTCTCCATGACCAGGTTTCCTTGAACAGCCCCTATTTACACATTAGAAGCACAGAGAGCTTAGGAAGTATGGCCAAGAACAAGCACGGCAGATGGCAGAGGTGGGATTCAAACCAGTAATAACAGTAATCATCAGTAACAAGCTGGTGAGCCAGCAGTCCCGGAGAGCAGCTAAGAGCATGAAAAGGTGCAGTGAGGGACATTTGAGAAGGCCCACGGGGCAGGCAGTTTGCTGCCAAGCCTGATGCCCTGGCTTTGATCCCTGGAATCCTCACGGAAGAGAGAACTGACTCCCAAACGTTGTCCTCCGACTTCCATGCATACATCATGGCATATGTACACCCACCCCAGCCACCCCCTGACTAAATAAATGTTTTCTTTAAAAAATGCAGCGAGTGCAGTACTTCTTCTGGATGGAGGAGGAAGTGCCCCCCGCCTCTCACTGAGGATTGGGAAGGAAAAAGCCCTCCATCGAGACCCAGTCTTTTCATAGAGACGCAGTATTTCCTCTCCCACTCTCTTATTACCGCCTCCCACTCAGGAACTGAGAACTCTGCAAAAATAGAAAACCTGGAGGAGTTTGAAGGGAGCACTGGGCAGGGAGCCCCACCGAACCGTGACCTCTCTGAGGGCGGTGGATCTGAGGTTCCATAGAACTTTATAGGAGAGGGTACTGGCTTGTCTTGGGGGTGGCTTCTTTAGGATCATAGTGCAGTGTGTCTTGACTTCTTGCTGGGTTCCTTTCCATCTCTTACCTACAGGACCACATCTGCCTCTTAACAAGCCCAGGTCTCGGCTTCAGCCTGTCTCTCTTTTTGGTTTTTGGAGACAGGGTTTCTTTGTGTAGCTTTGGAGCCTGTCCTGGCACTCACTCTGTAGACCAGGCTGGCCTTGAACTCACAGAGATCTGCCTGCTGGGATTAAAGGCGTGCGCCACCACTCTGCCCAGTCTGTCACTTTTTATGCCATGTGGCAGTATACCCCCTATTTCTTGTTCCTCTTTTACACCCAGCTCATTAATTTCCTGGGACTCTGCTGTGGCCTGCAGGAACCTAGTCCCTGCTAATTCTGTGGAATGAATTCAGATGAGACACAGAGCCTGCTGCAGAGAAGCCAGGCAGAGTTTGTTACAGGATAACACAAAGTGCTCTCCAGGCTGGGAGCAGGCAATGATCAGAGGGGTTGTTGCTCTAGAGAAAAACACTCCTTTTTGTTTGTTTGTTTTTCAAGACAGGGCTTCTTTGTGTAGCCTTGGCTGTCCTGGAACTCACTCTGTAGACTAGGCTGGCCTCAAAGTCACAGAGGTCCACCTGTTCCTGCCTCCCAAGTGCACTGCCACTACTTAAAGATGTGCACTACCACTGCCCAACTAATACCAAACGTTTTGGGACAGACAGCTTTCCTGATTGTAACATGAGGGTTGGCTTGTTGAGGTTTCTGTCCTGCCCAGTACCCCAAAGCCGGGCAAGCCCAAAGAAAATCACACACAGGACTTCATAAGGTTATAAACTGATTGGCCCTTAGCTCTAATAACTTATGTCACCCCACCATCCTTATCTATGTTAGCACATAATGGCTCCGTACCTTTCTCAGCTGGGCAAGTTACATGCTGCCTCTTCAGTGGTCTGCGCAGGAGTGGAGAAAGAGCTTCCTGTGTCCCAGAATACTCCCAGTCTCTTTGCTCCACCCCTACTTCCTGTTTGGCTTTCCCGCCTATACTGCCTGCCTGGCCAATCAGCGTTTTATTAAAATATGAATGACAGAATACAGACAATTCTCCCACACCACCTGATCATATGATTGACAGGCCCATTTGAGTAAATTCAACTTAGGGAGGAGCCAAAAGTATGTCTTTTGTTTGTTTGTTTGTTTTGTTTTGTTTCATTTTTCGAGACATGGTTTCTCTGTAGCTTTGAAGCCTGTCCTGGAACTAGCTCTTGTAGACTAGGCTGGCCTCAAACACACAGAGATCCACCCACCCAAAAGTATGTCTTTATTCTTCTCAGAAAGTCTCCTGCTATAGTAATATCACGGTCTTTTGGATAGTTAGAAAGTCACATGTCCACCCACGGCTAGGGACAAGATTCAGACTTCAGTCTTTTCTCCAGGAATCAAAACCCTGCACTTGCAGGTCCTGGTTAACAAGCCGCTGATTATGAGGGATTCTATTATTATGATTTAATGACCTTCAAAGTCTGCTAATGTCTGTCTGGTCACTGGCAACTTCCTCTACCTCTGAGAAGTCATCCTTAGCCCTGAACGAGTTCCAGAATTCCAGTTAAAGCTAACTGGACCCACAGAGTAGGCTTATCAAAACCAAAACCAAACCAAAACAAACAAACAAACAACAACAACAACAAAAACCCCACCAGATAGTCTTAAAGAACAGGGTCATAGGTCAGAGACTATCACGCGCCTAAGTATCACACAGTTTCCCCTTTTCTGTCTGCAGCCCACTCTAAGATGAAAATGCCCAAACAGAACTGGAGAGCACTGACTCTATAGGACCCAGGTTTGATTCTCAGGACCCACATGGCAGCTCACAATACAATCATCTGTAACACCAGTGCCAGGGCATCGAACACCTTCTGGGTTTTATTAGAAGTGAAAGACCCCTGAGGGATGTCTTCCTTTCGAGAGAGGCCCCGAACCCACGAATCAGACGAAACCACACTTACGGATGCAAACAGCAAGAGGTTTATTCGAATACACAGGTACCTGGGGCGACAAGGTCTCTCGGAAGACTTGCGTGCCTCCAGGTTGGGGTGAGGGGTTCTTATAGGAGAGCAAAAGCGCGGGTACAGAAGCGAAAAGCGTAGTTACGGGGATTCATTCCATTGGTCAATTCAAATAAGGCTAAGAGCGCTGAGTGGCAAATTCTTGACCTTTCACCTAAATGCCAAGGAGGGGGTTGTCTGGGGGCTTTCTGTTTATCTTATCTCTTCCTGCTTTCCTAGCTGGAGACCTGATGGCCGATGGCCGGCTGTAATTACCCTGACTCACATCCTGTCACAGGACAAAAGGCCTCCCCCCTTGACTCTAATGCCTTACATTCCAACATCCAGGGTGGTATTCTTTTCTTTTTTTCCTTTTCAGAAGTAAGTGCAGGGTCACAAAGAAAGAGACCACCACTCTAGCTGAAGTGCTGGCAGGGCAAACTGTACGTTTGGTGGTGAGAGTCTGCTTGGGAAGAGTGAACACACAAAGACAGGAAGTTCATTTGGTTTTTGTTCTAATTCAGACAGTGGCTGTGTCCTTTCCTCATCGACTGAAGTCAGACCTAACGGTCTTAGTTTAATTGGCTAGTCTGAAAATAACTGGTACCCAGGAACTGAAGGAAAGGGAAAAGGGTCATTACTCCAACCAAATTCCTGGAATACAACCATGAACCTTTCTGCCTCTCTGTGTCTCTTTCCCTTTTGAGGGCACTGATTCACCCTTTCTCCCCCCCTTTCTCTTTCTTGGTTGTTTGTTTTGTTTTTGTTTTTGAGATAATGTCTCACTATATAGTCCTGAGTGGCCTGGAATTTGTTATGTAGATTAGGCTGGCCTCTAGCTCACAGAGGTCCATCTGCCTCTGCCTCCTGAGTGCTGGGGTGACTGGCAGGTGGCCTAGTTTTTGTGTGGGTTCTGTGGATCTGTGCATGCCCCTCCCCACCAATGTTTTCATTCTGTAGCAGGCTGAATCCATATCCAGAGAGCATCCAGAGCTGGGGCTTGCCTGGACTGTCAGGGTGGAACAGAGATTGCATAGCACCAAACTTGTCCCTGAAGGTTGCTCTCTGGCTGCCTCCTCACTTTGGGTTCTGTATTTTAGTTTCTGTTGTTTTGGAGGAAACAGGATCTTACTGTGTAGTCCAGACTGGCTTTGAACTCTTGATCCTCCTACCTTGGCCTTCCAAGTGCTGGGACTGTAGGCATGTGCCCCTATGCTTGGGCTGCATTAGGTTCTTCAACCTGGACAGCACCTTGTTCTACTCAGTCTGTTAGGACCTGACTGTCACAGTCCCTGAGGATTGGGTCAGTGTTTTCCTCCACTATGTAGGGCCTTTTCAGACTCTCCTGGGACACTGCCATCTGTCTGAACGGTCTTTTGTACCAACAGGCCTGATGGATGATCTTCTTCCAGAACTTGGTTGAAATGCATCTTGATCCCATGTACTGTTTCTTCATTGTCCCATGTCTGGCTTGAGACTTTCCTCCTACGAATGGGATCTTGTGTTATCCCATAGATGTACCTGTGTCATGATGGCCAGTTGTTGGGCCCCAGGCTCCTTTTATGATGATGGGGAAATACATTAATTTTCATATTTTTTCATTTTAATTTTATTTATATGTATGGGTGCTTTTGTCTGTGTGTATGTTTGTGTACCGCTTGCATGCCTGGTAACTAAGGAAGCCAGAAGACGATATTAGATCCCTTGGAACTGCAATTACAGTTGGTTGTGAACTTCTACATGGAAAAATCAAATCATGGACCTCTGGAAGAGCAGACAGTGCTCTTAACTACTGAACCATCTCTCTTAGCTTCTCATTTAAATTTTTTTTTTGAGACAGGTCTTTCTATGCAGGCCCGATTGGCCTAGAGCTAGCTCTGTAGACCAGGCTGGCCTTGAACTCACAGAGGTCCACCTGCTTCTGCTTCCCAAATGCAAGACCTAGGATTAAGAGTGTGTGCACCTCCCAGCACTCAGGAGGCAGAGGCAGGCAGACCTCTGTGAGTTCAAGGCCAGCCTGGTCTACAAGGGCTAGTTCCAGGACAGGCTGTCGTTACCTTCTCAGCAGAGGGACTGAAAGTGTGGGAGTCACCTCCAGGGCTTTTTAATGTGGGTGCTGGGGACCAAACTCGGGTTTCTGAGTTTGTACAGCAAGCACTTTGCCAACTGAGTTGGTTTTCCTATTTTGTTTTATTTTTTTTTGTATTATTATTTTATTTGTGTGTGTGCATATGTATATTACAAGTGGTGGTCAGAAGACAACTTTGGAATCAATTCTTTCCTTCTACTGTGGACTCCAAGGATTGAGAGACAAACTCAGGTCCTCATGTTTACTCGGCAAACACTTTAACCACTGAGCCCTCTTCACAGTCTGACTCCTGGTTTCTAGTCTAGTCTAGGCTGTATCTTGAACCAGTTTGTCTCCTTGCCTATTTTTCTTAAAAAACAAAACAAGCAAGCAACCCCCCCCCACACTGCCTATGCACTCACACATACAGACACTGGGAGCTGGAGAGATGGCTCAGCAGTAAGGGAATGCTCTACTTGTTCTTGCAGAGGACCTGGATTTGTTTCCTTGCACTCATATGGTGGCTCACAACCACCATAATTCCTGTTCCAGAGACTCTGAGGCCACTTTCACTTCCACAGGGCACAAGGATGGGGAGGGGGAGCCCCTGCAGCCTTTTGAGATTCAAGAGGGCCAGATCCAGCCTCCTGATCTGTCTATTATGAAATTAGAACCGTTTAAGACTCTCTCCTGAAGCTTCTCCCCAGGAATCCCATGTTCCCGGGGAAGCAGGACCTGAGATGGCCCTGTGGGGATGTGGGCTTGGGAGCATACCAGGCCACCTGGCAGCTGGGTACAAGAAAAGGTGCCAGCCTCTCCACACACCCACTCACATTCCCCACCCCTGGGCAGCTGCTTCAAGTCTTTGGCAGTGAGCCCTCTGCGGCTGCTGCCTCTCATTTTCCATCAAAGGCTCCGATAGAGGCTGCTGGCACTCAAGGTGTTCTTGTTCGGGGAATGGTAAAGTCTGAGATAAAGCTGAGCATTCAAAGCCTCACACAGGGCTCAGCAGGTAGAGGCACTTGCTGTTTAGAGGCACAAGTTTGATCCTTGGGACTCACAAGGTAGAGGGAGAGAACCACCTCCAGGAAGTTGTCTCCTGACCTCCACACATGCATGGGGCACAAAGGTGCCCTTCATAAATAATGTAGTCTAAGAAATTAAAAAATCAACAAAAATAAGACCAAAAAACAAAACAAACAAACAGAAAAAACAACAAGTGGATGGGAGAAAAGGCTCAACAATTACGATGGCAAGAATGCTGAGTGTCAGGGGAGGTGGTGGGTGCAGGGCAGAATAAAGTGAAAGGAAACCTCAAAATAGCCACAAATCAGAGGCATGCTCGCCTACACAGCTCAGGTGAAGACTCTATCCAGCCTGTACTTTGCCCTGGGAAGGGAAGGTGCTTGCCAGGTTGTGGGCTGGAGCGTTTTCAGACATTCATGTGGTGTGTGTGTGTGCCGCCCTCTGAGTCTGCAACTTCCACACCCATGGCTTCAGACTTTCACGTGGTGTGTGCGTGTGTGTGTGCATGTGCGTGTGTGTGTGCCACCCTCTGCATCTCCAACTTCCACACCCATGGCTTCAGTCGATCAAGAGCAAACTTACTGCCTCATTGTTGATGTGATCTCTGCGGTGAGGCCGGGGATCCTTGTATCTGCACTGAACATGTATAGTCTTTTTTTTCCTTGTTATTCTCTAAAGGAGAGGACATAAAGATTACAGGAGGATGTGTATTACCGTGTGTGTGTGTGCAGTAAGCTTTATGGATGATATTCAAGAAAGTAGAGTTCCCTAAGGCCTGCGCCTTCTTCTGGGGATCTGGGATGAGAAGTGTGAGGGAACACAC